GTAGGGCCGTCTTGTCTTTGGCCACAAAAGGATGATCCGACTGAAGTTGAAGGTCTTCCCATTTGCTCTGCTTGAGTGCCTTCTTTTTCGGCTTCCAAGGATCTTCAATCTGCCATGGGTCTGCTGTCATCATTGGAGCATCAGTACCTGTTTGGCCCTCCATTCCTCCCAATGAGACTGCTGCACATGGTTGCAGAAAATGGATACCTCCAACAACCAGGAAGAGCCGGCGCAGGTTCTCAGCAAAGGCCCTGAGCATTGGTGGCGCTCCTGCAACTCTCCATGCCTGGTTGGATTCCTCAAGAATGACATCAAGAACTTGCCGTTTCTGGTGAGGCACATGCAACGAATCTGGCAAACGCAAATCAACCACAATCCATCGGTGGAGCAGCTCCCAGCCACACATGCCAGGACGAGTGCGATTAGTGTCAATAATGATGACTGGGCGAAAGCCAAATGGAATGATGTGGTCAATAGCAAAGTCATGCCAGAACTGCTGATCTCGTGGTGGAACTTGCAGGAACACAGCACGACATGTCCTCTCCTCCGGGTTGCAGACCACCTCAATGCCTATCCAGTGTCCCTCACGTAGAGCAACAAAGCGCTGAACTTCAGAACAGGTCGGCTTGACACTTGGTGCAATCAAAGAGAGATCATGATGCAAAACAGGCGGGCAAAAGGTATCTCAATCTCGTCACTTGTAGCCCATCCTGGGTGGGTCCTATAGATATTGAGGCGCATGTCAAGCCATTCCTCTGACACAAAGAAGATCTCACGAACATCATAGGCATGAATCTCCCTGCCTGTTGCCCTAAGGAGGAGGTCAGAAGCACGGCTCGGTGATTCAGTGATTGCCAGAAGGAAGGCGGTTCGGGCAGCTTGTGCAAAGTGGATCATTCTGTCATCTGCCCTTGTTTCCCTCCAAACAAAGTCCGATTGGTCAATGATTTGCATCACATGGGCCGAATACTGATCTCGTTGGAGTCGCTGTGTGCTTCGGTGTGAGGTAGGAAGCAATGGTGCCCCGGCTCGAGCGTAAAATGTCCGGAGTGTGTGCCAGGTTGCAAGCTCAGAATCCTCTGCAGTGCGTACCCATCTGTAGGCATTGGGTGCAACCTGGATTCCCATGGTATTGACAAGCTCCAAGATAGCGGTCGATTGCCGAATGGTCAGCTGTTCCGGTGAGTGGTACAACACTCTCCACTGTCCCTCAAAGAATCGGACCTCAACGAAAATCCAGTCGAAGACAACCAGGATAGGTACCGCAAAGTGCTGGTAACAGCGCTGTAGGTCAGTGGGCTGCACCGGGAATCGAAACTGTGATTCATTGTTGATCCAAATAGCCGGAGGGCACCAGCAAATCGAGGGCATCAGGATCTGCAGAAAGTCAAAGTGGAAGACCATTTCATCAAGCGCCAGTGCTCCTGGCTCAAAGTTGAACTGGAGCAACCGAGCGTTCATAAGATCATTTCTGACATTGCAGCTAGGGTTGTCAACGAGGCGATCCATGCCTCCAAAGGCTAGTGGAGTCCCTTGCCTTGCAGGGGCACCACTCCATAATACATCACCATTGATGAGCATCATTGGCTGATCGGGTTGGCACTTGACCAGATTTCGCAGGGTGATGTCGCATTCTTGGCCAAGCAGCTCATTGCACTGGCGTGGTGTAATAGTTCTTTGAGCCTGGCATATCTTGCACCAGCGAAGGACCTGACCTCCCGCAAGCAAGACCCACTTGGCAGAAAAAGACCCATCATTGATCCAGTCAAAGCTGCCATCTTGTTGCAGAAGGAGCACTCGACCTTTATACTGCGGCTCATCATCTTGACATAGATACTCCACGGCATGGAGGAATTCACATTGTTGGGCATCCACCAATTGGTCAAGTCCAGGGTCAATCTCATCACCTCCCCATGGTTGCGTAGGGGAGAGAATAGGATCAGTATCAGTGTGATCAGTGCCAGTTCTGACAATCTGCAACGTACACAGCGTGTGTGGCCCGAGTTTGGCAACGACATCCCCACATGGCAGGTCATCCCATTGGCTGCTGGCAGGCAGACATCGTCCATCAAAGAATAGCTGAAGCAGAGGTGTGTGGTGAACCCCCAGATCCAACTTCTCGAGGAAGAAGGAGATAGCATCAAAGCCTGCCGGCACATTCAATGGCACTAAGCTCAGGTCATCACCAAATCTGATCAGAGTTCTACCTGCAAGCCAGGGCTGCCAGGTCACGATGCTGGGAAGGGCTTTAGCCACAAAGTCAGCAAATGGCTGAAGCACAAACATATCATCCCACTGGCGAATGAAGGCTTTGTCAACAGTCAATCGGTCTTCCCAACACTGTTGCACGAGAGTCAGCTTAGGATAAGTATCTCCAGAGACTCCTTCAAATGCAAAAAGATTGGCAACCAAAGCATGAAGCTGAGAAATTGCATTGCCAAGTGGCAATCCAATGGAGTCAGATGTACCAAATAACGTGACAAAGGTAAATGGATCAATGAACCGAAAGCTTTCTCCATGTCGGATCAAGGTGGCAAAGATTCCTTTTGCATCCAGGTGGTCTCTTTGGAGCCAATGCTGGCCAGTGTATGAGGCACATAGCGTAGGAAGGTAATCCCCTGGTTGTAGGAGGCGCTGCTCCAGTACATCCTGCATCAATGCATCTTCAGCCACACGTGTTCTCTTACCCGGTGGAAGGAGCTGGCGATCCCCATATACTTCCAGCTGCTCGGGTTTGAGACAAAGGGCATCAATCAAGCCCCCTGGCAGGTGAAAGAGATGTTTGGGATCATCCCAGGGAACACGCTTCACAGCAGAGCAGACAATGCGTTCTGTGCTCTTGTTGCTTTCAACATCCTGGCGTGCCCACACGGCAAGCCATCGGTTGCGATGATTTCCAGTGAGTTGATGGATGGCAACGTCTTGCGACCATATCTTCTTATACCCACTCAACTGCAACGCTGCTGACAGGGCTCTCCAATGTTGGTGTGCCTCAATGCCGTCTGAGCACTCAAAGATAGCAAGCACCGGGCGAACTTTGGCCACATGGTGGATCGCATCAAGGAAACAAAATCCTTCATCTGTCGCCAAACCTGAGTTGCGCCCCCCTCTACTCCAACTTGGGCACGAGGCGAGAGAGTCATCACCAAATTGGACTTGTTCGAAGTAGCTCTTGGGAGAGTGGTCTCGCTGATGTCTGCGCAAATGCCATTGAAGACCTTGAGGGAGTTATAGCCAACCTCAATTGGGGCCTTCTGGACATCATGTCCATGGTTGAAACTCCAAGTCTTCATTACTTCTGGGCACCAATCAACTGATGTATGCGTGGCAAAGGAGTAACCCAGGTTGGCCTGCTGCAACCACCACATTGCCCGCAACCACCCCTCATACGCTCCAGCAAACAGGTGACTGACATTCCATGCTAGGTGTTTGTCAAATTGAGGAAGGTTCCATAGAGGAACGGTGGCATCCGCAATGATCTTCCCTGTTTGCAGTCGATGGTGCGGCTGCACATGAACCCCAATCCTCATGCCAACTGACAGGTCTACACGGTCATGCTTGATGGGACAAATCAGGTCAAAATGAGGCCACATGTCCCCAACCCCCTCATCATTCAGCAGCATAGAAGTGCGGTGAACCTGAACATGCAACGGGTTCGGGCTCAGCACCTCAGTCACCTCACCAAAGAGAATCCAGGCTTCACCTGCAGCTTTGCACTCACCTGTAGTAGCAATGGCAAGCAGTGCCTCACGAACCGAAGCACCCAGGCTATCAGCCATGCCCATCGTGGCCCAGTCGATGAAGCCAAGTCGCGACAATGAACCATCATTCTTCTTGCTATCCATCGCCATCAGCAATCCTGATCCAGGTGAAGACCAGGTCTTTGGACGTGTAACCCTGGCCACAGGGACCAGTAGCCACACCCCGGCCCTTGCGTGGGGGCGTGAGGCACGAGGCTGTGAGCCAAAATGCCTAGGGGGGAGCTTCCTTGAAGAAGCGTGGGCTATCCTGCGTCCAAGGTAGTAGCTTCAGCAAGGTACTAGCGACTCCCTAGCTTCTACTAGCTACGTAGCTACTACAGTACCTCTTAGCTGCCTACCCCTCCTAAAACATAAATACATATATATATATACAGTATATATGATCTAAATATGTATATAATATTCATCTCATCAATCGAATCTTCACCACTTCTCATCATTCCATGAGCCCACCATGTGCGGCCAAGATGCCGAAGCCCTAAACACTGAGAGTGCGGAGCGCGGATGACCAGCCCCTGCAGAACAGGGATGTCGCGAGAAGGCTAGGTCTAGGTTCGAGGTGAATGCCCGGCGGTTGCTGATTGTTGGCTTATATATCATATCCTCTCATGCTCAATATATGAACACGTACAAATGGAGACTGTTTTCATGTATGTAATATGTGTTACTAGTTGTTCATCATGTGATATCTTCTTGTTTCAGAACACCCCAGCTATTATATAGATTACGTCATGTTCATAATGATTTGGAAACACAATATATTGAGCATGTTGATCTTCGGTCGGTCGATCAAGTCACCTGAAACCCAGGTTGTGCAGAAACCCAACTGGACATCAGGACATCAATCCGAGATCCTGTTCGCGCGGATCGAGGCACTGATGTATTCTCCAACAAAAGAGGTGTCCTCCGTTGGAGTGCTTTCTGAAACTGGGGGTGACACAGTGAGGCGCGACATATTTCTAGCAGAAGTTCCAAAGAGCACCCCAGGGGCACTGGTGGTGTTGGCAGGGCACCTTTACTGCAATTGCACTACCGAAGAAAAAACACCAGCCCAACAATCTTCTCTTTACTGTATTTCTCTTTGCAACAGAACATCTTTCGAGATACACAGCCTGTTTTTGAGCAGCCTCCAAATTGGCGAAGAACCCATCACATCTATTGACATGTTGGATCATGTTTGCATCATTGTGGGCTAAGAAACCTGCGTAGTTCATGCCTCATCGCGCAAACATACATCCATGAACTCCCACGTGCCGTTCCCGAAAAGACACTCTCTCAGGCACTGACTCAAGTGTTCCCGACGCAAGGCAGCGTTAAGCCCTGGAAGCCAGGGCTGAATGTTTCTCGGTTTAGTTCACCAAAGCCTGTAGTCACCCACAATACGTAGATGTCTGGAACAAATTGGTCACAGTGTATGTGTGCGAGTTGCTCAATTCTATGTGCCAAATGTAAAGGCCCAAGGCAAAGCAGCCTCAGTCCTTTGTGTCTTTTGACTCTGTTGCAGTGTGTGTGTGTGTGTGTGTCTGCAAGCACTGCAAGCAGCTAAGTGGATCATACTGGACCCTTTGGCCACTCTGTGCCCGGCTGGTTTTTGACGTTCTGGGTTCGTCCCCTTAACAGTGTGGTGGACGCTGTGGAGGCGATGTCTGTCTGTCCGTCCGTCCGTCGTATGGAGGCCGTGGAGGCTTGGCCTGGGGCGGCTGTGACACTGTCGCGGACGCTGCGTTGCGGAGCAACAATGTAGAACAATGCAAAACATCTGCCGTCCTCTTCATCAACGCTTCATCTGAGCCGTCCAGGGCTCCACACCCACCGCACTGACCGGGCAGCTACAACCACCAGAAGCCAAAAACCTCAAGATACACTGCCGCAGCTCCTGGCAGCCATGAGTCTTGGTCGCAGTAGGAATCCGATCGAACGAAGTGTCAATCGGAACACGTTGGAATTGTTGGGAATTGCTGTAGATTCAAAGGAACCCTCACTTCTTCGAACCACCAAACCACAGTAAATACTGGTGTTTCAGGTGGCATGCATTCCTTTAACATCTTTTAACTGCAGTTATCCGTTATCCGATCATGACTCATGACGTAACCTGACGAAACAGTTGTCTATGCGGGGGCGCGCTTCCGAAACAGTTGTAGCTTGTTGACCGTGCTTCGGGTGCTTCGGATGGTTCTTGAGCCCGACCCGCAGATCCAGGTTTCGGACCAATGGAGTTCGCACAGCTGCCATAGTTGGGGATGTGGTTTTCATCCACACCAATTCAACTCACACCAACTCATCTCACTCACACAAATTCATCTCATACCAACTCAAGGCACACCAACTCAACCACTCCAACTCAAAACACGCCAACTCAACTTGCACCACTCCTCTCACAAACACTCTCTCACACCGGCACCAACTACTCTATATGACCTCACACCAGCTCATCTCACTTCCACTCACTCACTTCCATTGGGAAGTTCTGCTGACGCGCCTTGGTCATTTAGTGACGTTCACTCACTCACACTCATCAACTTGCAGACTCACTGCCCATGAGCGTCGACTCACATATTCCTTTACGTCGACGCTCATCGTCTGCATACATTCGTCTCGTCTGATTGTCATTTCTTTGCTTTCCACCCCTTCTTTCCACTCATCGATTCTAAAATAATCTTCACATGAGAGTGAGGTTGTCCAGTCCTTTAATTCCTTTCTTTCCAACGCCCTTCCAGCCCTCTCCCTTGGCGCGCTTGCAACTTTTCCCTCACATGTGGTGCCTTCCGAGGATGCGCTTCATTCGTGGCCAATTATCGGGTGACGGTGCAAATGGCCACCCTGTCCGAAGCGTTCTTTGGTGCATCGCCACCGTTGCGATGCCTTTCTTTCTGGGAAGTCATTATGGTGTTGAGAGTCAACTAACTTCTGCAGCGGAGTTAATTGTTTGGTCCATTGGTCCATTGGTCGCATAGATTCACAATGATTCACATAGTACCTACATGTACCTACGTGGATTTGCGTTGGAGCATGTTCCTATTCATTAACAGAATCAACAGTCCAAGTCCAAAGTAAAATCGAGACCGAACTAGGGCCCAGGGGTGCCATTGGCCATGTGAGCAGTCGTACGTCACAGCTTGCATAGTTTATCATAGTTTGTATAGCTTCCTTCTCCTTGGTTGCTTTCGGAAGGTGGTGCTGTCAATGCAGGGAGTTCTTCTTGTGTCAATGCTTTCCTGATGCGCAGCGTTTCATGCGAAGGCCACACTCCGGCACTCGGCCGACGTTACAAAGGACATCGAAGAGGTCTTCGCAGGTCTGTGTGCGAAAGCTGCTTCACAGCCATGAGTCGATCATAGTCGATCTAAGACTTAAGATTTATGCTTGCACCAGGTACTGTAATCTACAAAGATTCACTTTGTCTGACACAATCTGACTGCATATTGCAGGAGTAACATCTTGCTGTAGATTCAGGGGACACTTCACTTGGGCTGTGTGCATCTTTGGAAGCTGAAGACACGTGTCCCAGTCAACAAGTCCTTTGTCCTCCCTGCACGATTTGATTCGCAGGATCTCTACTATAGAGAGATCAGCCGTGAGCGAACAGTATCGTTGGTCATGTCGGTGAGGCAAACATCTTGAGGAATGATCTGGAAAAACCGTGAAACATGGCGTCATGTCAGTTCCCCACAACTGCACGTTCTCATCGACCGGAGGAACCTCAAAAGCAAGCACCACGGACAGTCCATCTGTGTGGACTGGCAGCGATTTGCACGGCTTCAAACATGTGCCGGAGTTTGTTCATGAGAAGCCGAGTATCGCCAGAAAGAAGGCACTTTTGCTACAGTAAGGAGCGACACTTTCCCTCAGTGTTTTCTCTTGCGTGAAACACCCCAGAAAAGGAGACTCAAGTCGTCACACTGTTTGAAGCACCTTGTGTCTGGGATGGCGGAACTACCATCTCCGGGAAATCCATTCTTGGACCAGAGGCGCGCTAACTTGCAGGGGGTGTCTTCATGTCTACTTTCAATCGTGGGAAAGACGGTCAGACCCTGACGATGACAACCCAGCCAACAATGACTCACCGATGGTGAAACGGGACTGAGAACAGCGGTTCTATGAAAAAATCCGACTGGCCACTCTAGACTCTAGACCTAGGCTGCAACACAGCCTGCCACCAAGGCCAACAGTTGGTCTAGTGATCCTCCCCAGGCGCCATTGCCATCAAGCTTCATTTGGGTTGTCTGAAAGTAGGGAACGCCGGCATACCCTAGTTACCCACAAGTGAAAGCAAAACAGAGAGCAACCAACGGACCACGGATCAGCCCATCTGGCTGCAAATAAACATGCAACAGAAAACAAAGCCTACGTAATTTGAAGTGCTCCTGATGGAAAACTACAGTAAATTATTGGGAAGAGTCCAACAGCTTGTCAGTGAGCAGTCCTGGAGTCCTCCTACTTGGAATTGTCCATAAAGGGACGTTTGAACACGTTGTTTGTGTTTACTTACAGTAAATTCAGGACGCACTTCCTTATTGAATGTGGAGGTGTTGTTGCGCCAAAGTATGGATAATGCCGCCCTGTCTCTTTTGCCAGGCAGAACTTCCCACCCTAACGCCTAGTTTTTGGATTGCAGGGTCCGAAACTAATCCCAGTGAACACACGAGTCTATTTATATAAGAGTAAAGTACACGACGGGCTATTGATGCGACACCTGAGGGCTTATCATTTCTGGCCTTGTCTGGAATAGAGTGTCAGTCACAAGTCGGCGCTCGCAAGTTCATTACGGAGTCGCGCATGACACCGCCGTGGCATGTGCACACCTTTCGGAAAACTTCCTCAGTCAGGCTCCATTTTTCATGGATTACCTGTAACGGCCGAGATGGTGGGAAAAACCGGCGCGTTGAGACGCGTGGCTGAGCTCTCACAAGTTGGATAGAGCTGTTGCCACGTGGCTGAGACGGTGGCTCCACGGCTGATCAAAATTGGCCAGGACTCAAAGGTGCTGGCAGCCAAAGGCTCTGAAGAGCCATTCTATAGCTCTCATGCACTCATTGAAGCAAGCGAAAACACACAAAGGACTAAATACTAATGAACAGGAGTAGCCATTTTTCTTATCAACGCCATTCATTCATTGCGCCAGCATGGCAGCATGCATTCTCCCCCTGCAGAGGCCACTCCGCGGCTATCCGCGGCTGTCAGTATCTCTTTGGCTTGTCATGGTCCTTCTTGCCACGTTTCATGGTGGTGAAGGCCAGAAAGTGAGCAGACTCTCTTTGAGTCTGTTTCATGGTACGATTTGGAGGAACTGGCTCGTAGACTGCGAACGTGACCTCCAAGAAATGGATAGAAATGGAGTCAATATATCGGCTCTTGACTTGCAGGTGCCTGTCCCTTCCCAAATCGATCATGATCTCAAAAAATCATAGCCGTGAATACTGTGTGTGTGTATACTGAGCACACTGCTTCTGCCAGCAACTTCTTTGTGAGAGCAAACGGGCAGACAGGCCCGAATTCTGGCCCTTCATTCCAATGCAAGGAACACATAGTTGGGTCTTTGACAATCTTTCATCTTTGACAAAAACAAGATCTGGGTGCATGTTTGGTGATGATTTCTGACGATCCACCTCTGTAATTACCTCAATCTGAAGCTGATTCGTGGCAGCTGAGACACCGGAGTAAGGAGTGACTCTCCATGTTGGGAGACTCCGGAGTGAACCTCGAGTCCACGGACATGTTGAATGGGTTGTGGGGCATCGCTTGGGGGTCAACAAGTTTTCCGTTCGATCACCCAGGAGGATCCCCCTCTTTATCTTTCTGAGAAATGAAGCACACTGAAAAGGGATCCCTTGCAATGGATGGAAGGGGTTACAGACTGCTCTGACATTTTAAAAATTCGCAGGTCTCTCTGCATGAAGCCAACCAACTTCAATGGTTCGGGTGAAACTCTGTCGGTATTGTATTCCGCTGGCCAATGAAAAATGCTTCTTTCGCGGTCAACCGAAGAAAGCAAAAAACTGGGCATCTTTCGATTTGCGTTGACGTGGAGTCAGTTGCGACCAGACTAGTCAGACCACTTTAGTCTCGAAGCTTCAAGTAGCCGGTGAAACTCCCCTGGTCACCCTGCTCTGAAGATCTGCCATCTTCACACAGCAGGAAAAGCACCTGCAGGTCTTCACTCGTCTTTCAAAGGTCGAACTGAGTCGAACCCAGTAGGTCTTTCAGAATCTGTGACTTCAATCCGGTGAAGCGTGGATCTGCCCCAGTTTGCTGCGTCTGAGCAGTTGAAATCGTCAGATGTTCTTTATTTTGAGAAAAGGAGAAAAAAGGCAAAGGACGACGTCGTTGGATTGATGCAACTCAGAGTGCATGAGAGTAAACTGCATGCATGTTCACTTTGTTGACTTGATCCCCGTCAGATCCATGTATATAAATTCCTGTGTCTGGGGACGATCTGAGTCGCACACGACACCCACCCGCACCCCGCCGCCGCCGCGCTCCTCGCCGCCTTACTGCCGCAGCTTCGTCATGGGCACCGTATGCTCCGAGGGCGCCGCAGGCGCCGGCGCCGCCTCATCGAGCCAGGCGGCTGCTGAAGAGCGGCGTCCTGCGGGTGAAAGGCGACTCATCAAGAAGAGGAAGGGCGATGAAGGGCGAGGAAGGGCTGGAGTATGGCTTGAGTACCAACTTGAGCTGCCCTTTTTCTGAACATTTGCTTCCCAGATTTGAATTGTTTCGGATGTGTTTTTTTAAAGAGGCTCAGTGAGTGACTGGACCGCTCACGCCAGAGGAAGTAATTCCAGGGGAACGACTGATTAATTGTGTCCATTGGCTGAATTTGGCAATTGAGACCATGTTGCTTTATGTCGACAACAACTTCGGTTCAAAAGAAGTTGC